CTTTTATTTGTTTCTATTTTAAATTACTATTACCTCCTGAATTCGAATCTGCAAGGTATTTGGCCATATCGGGTGTTACTTAATTGTTATTAACAAATTAAATGTTTAAAGTGCTATAAAAAATCAAAAAACACCGTCAGAAGGATAAAAACCAAACCAAACATTAGCAAGTATGTCAGTTTTGAAATTCAAATATTTCTATTGGAAAAAAAGATATAAAGTATGTTTAGCGGCAAAATATAGCTTTCGTGCCTGTGGTGCTCTTTATTTTCATCATATTTCGGCTTAACATGAACATTTTAGGTCGTGAAACCTTTTATTTTAAAGAGGAAGATTTTATTTACGATCAGGAGTCATACAAAATAGTTTAGTAACCGTCAATTCGTTTTTAAATGTGATAAAATACAAAAATTTTGGTAATTAAACGACCACATGGGAGGAATAACTATTGATTTTAACAGTTTAAATAAAATATCTAATTAGTTATTTCAATCATTTATCATCATGCAAAACGTTGTGGGTATACGTACGTAAATCTACAATTAATTATTAGAAACAAATTAATAAATAAAAACAATGAAAAAAACATTATATTTTATAAAGGAAAAACTTACATTGGAAATGTGTAAGGTCGTAGGATTAACAACGTTTTAGTTCTACAAGAATTGACGCATTTTGTAAAAAAAAATGCTATAATTTGGCACTGTTAGAGTATTCATCACCGCGTACGTAGAAAAAATTTTCAGTTTATGAACAAATTAGTGGTCGTTAAATCGCCAAAATTTTTGTACTTGTGTTTTTTGTACTTTTATACACAAACGAAATGAGTATTATTAAACTACTTTATATGACTCCTAATTGTAAATTAGATCTTACTCTTTAAAATAAAAAGTTTTGCGAGTCAAAATATTCATAACACGAGGTATGATGAAAATAAAGAGCACGACTGGTACGAAAGTAAAATTTTGCCGCTTAACATGCAATAACTTTTTTTCTAATAGAAATATTTTAAAAAATGACGTACTCACGAATGACAATGTAATAGTTTGGCTTTGTTTGTGTCTTGCTAATGGTTTTTTATTTTAAAATGTTTTATGGTGTTTGAAACAAATAATTTGTGAACACTAATTAAGCAACACTGTATACCACCAAACACCTTGCAAATTTAGATTCAGAAGGTTAACATACATCTAGAAAATCTTGGTACTTATTCTAGGGAACCTCGATCGATGACGGAGGGCCTTTACTTACTTAAGTAAACAATACATCACAAAATCAAAAAATTTGTTCAATAGTTTTTGAAAAGTGCATGCGTTGCAGTAAAGCCGAGTCACGCTCAGTAGTCGACCGCTGTGGTTAGTACACATGCAAATTACTATCATCTTATAAAAACTGTGGAAGAAAATTTCGATATTTCAGAATATCGTTTACATGGGTAGAGGCCCCAGCGCCACCAGGTATGAAAACTATATATTCTGTACTTGGTCATCTGATCAATGAAGGAAAACACATGTATACTATAGTAAGGCTTTCACTCCGAACAGCTAAATCTTGAGCGCAATACGTGGATCTTAAGAGCTTAAAATATCTACTTATTTATTAAAATAAAGTTATGATGCGAATAAAACATTATGTTTGCTTGCGCATAAATTTAGACAAATTTTGACGTAACTATGTTATTTTCAACTATAAAGTTTTGTAATTAATTAAAAAATCTAATCTTCATAACAACACTTAAATATATACATTGATCATGCTACTTTAATTTAAATCATAGTGTTGTCGTTGCTCCACCTATGTATAAAAAATGGTAGTTTTCGTACTATAAAAGAAGGGATATTTATGCAAATTGAACATGAAAATAATTCGGAAACAGAAAATGTTTGAGAACAAATTTCCAATTTATGAAAGATACACGTTTTGAAAAGAAAAATAATGAATTGAAAGTATTCATATAAGTTATAATAACATTATATAATATTAGTACGGTATGGTATATATGGTACGGTTAGGACCCTTTTTGGCTTTTGTTATACCATGGACATTTTTGCTTTAAATTTTTTTGCCCTAAACGCATGGTGTGATAGTTTTTCTTGTGGGTCACGTGCAAAGTTCCCCTCAGATGACTTGGTCGTCCTACTAGGTACTATTTACTGGGTGAAGCGATTGTCTGAAGTACACCCCAGCTATTATCAAGTTTAATGGAAAGATATTTTTCAGTGAACCATATAACTCGCTATACCAACCTTTTTATAACCAACAGCGACTTTTACCCAAAATAGATTCANGCACATAAATGTATGAAGTACTTGGCAATGGATGTAAAGTTTTTTTCTAAACATTTTTAGCCCCATTTTAACATTCCATGGAGGTTCTATTGACGGAAATTCTGAAGTTGTAACTTGTCTGTCGCTACTACAGTAAAATTTTATCGAAAATAATGAATATCTATAGAAGCACTGAATTAAGTACACAAAAAATGAAGTAATAACTATATTTAATGTTCTTTGCTTTTATTGTAGTAAGTATACAATCGATCTATTTAATATTTAAATTAAACATTTATAATTTTACTACAAAATTGAGGTGGACTGTTGATATTTCGGACCCCCCCCTCCTCTTAAAACATTCCAATAGAAAAAACTAACAGAATTTATATTTTTAACAACCTTATTTAATTCAATATTCTATTATTAATAGCTTAAGTTGAGGGTCAGCCTAGGCTTTATTGTGTGAGCGCGCATGCATTAATGCATACACAAGCGAATGCTGTGTGCTAAAAAGAATCGAACAAGTGTCGATCGATATTCTTCATCCTAACAAAACGCTTTGTCTAGTGTACTAAAAATACATTAAACTGTTCGTCCTCCATTTCTCCAAGAACTTTCTCGACCTTATTCTTTTATCTAAGATTATTTCTCTGCATGTATTTTTTTTTTTTTTCCGTTTTTCAAAATCCCGATTGTATATTTTTATTTTTTGTAATTGTAATACTTAGATATAAGTATACTTATTAGCATGCATTACATATCCAAAATAAGCTTCCAAAATATCGAGCAGAAGTGATCAAAACTGATTCATGGCAATATTTGTACATAGTTTAGAAAAAGTACAAAACGTATGAAAAAGTTTGAAAATTTCTTTCAGAAGCAATCACGTATTAGCGTGTTTAGTAATTATATTTATTGAAACTCTCTAGCACTGAAAGTACCTTAAAATCGTAGGAATTATTTAACAACTAGTTTCCTCCGAGTTAGAATTTTCCTTAACCCGAGTCTGAGTTAAAACTTGCTTTAATACAATTATGAATTGGCGCTTTCTTTGACCAAGTTTTTGAGACTACAAGTATGTTTTAATTAATTTTTCTTCAAATATACCACCAAACCTAAGCTATCGTTAATTTGAATTTGCGCGCTATTAAGATATGTAAAGGCGCCTCAACAATCAAACGTATGTCATGGAGATACACCTTATGCGACAGTTAATCAGAGCCGCCTAAGCTAACTCAAGCCACCGCTGCAGATTCAGGTATAAAAAGGGCTAGTAGAAACACGGGCTGGTTACTCTGCTTCTGCCTTTCGCAGTGAGTCTGAGTGTCTGACCCTTAGCTCGTGAGCTCAACTCTTTAAAGCGTCGTGTTCATATGTTGTGATGAAGATTCAATAAATGATTATTTACATATATTCACTTAAATTTTGTATCGTTCATTATTAAATCTAAACTTGAATTAAACAGAGCAGTAGGTAAGACGGCACGAGTCTCCTAGCTTTCCCTCGCCATTACATACTTTGCACTGGAGTAAGGAGCCAACCTGCGGAGAATTGCAAACCGGGGTGAATCATCTAGGTAGTGAGTTGGTGGATCGGTGGATCTTTAAGGCAATACGAACTGAAGCTATCCCGAGACATTAATATACTGTAAGCAATATAAACTTTGTATGACATTAAAAAAATAATGCCAATTTTGTGAGGGTCAAAAAATTAATTATCAAGTACTTAATTCAAATAAAGAGTCTAAAGACATGATATTCCATATTCATGTAAGGTTAGTTTGAAGACACCTTTACAAGGATAAGGAGTCAATGAGAAGCTCGTGGGTACAAAGTTGGATTCGCAATGTCCCTAACCAGTAGCACGAGATACCTTATAGAAATCATGTAGGTACACAGGCAGGTTCGTAATACCCCTGACAGGTGATACATAAAATTCCGGGTAGATCAAGAGATGGATGTTAAATATTTTTTAAAAACGTGTAAGTTAATATAAATGTAAATGTTAACTTTCTTCTAACATTTTTGAGAGCTATAATTCCGTGATGTCTCGGGATAGCTTCAGTTCGTGTTGCCCTGAAGATACGCTGATCTACCAACTCACTACCTAGAGGATTCACCCCGGTTTGCGATGCCCCAGGGTCCGGCTCCTTATCCCAGTGATACAAGAAAGAATGCAATGGTGAGGGCAAGCTAGGAGACTGCACTAGCCTCGCTGCCGTTTCATTTACTGCTCTATTTAACTCAAGTTGAGATTTATCAATGAACAAAATTCAAGTGAATGGATGTAAATAATCATTTATTGAATCTTAATCATAATATACACGACGCTTTAAAGAGTTGAGCTCACGAGCTAAGGGTCAGACTCACTGCGAGTATACCTGTCTGTGTACCTACATGCTTTTTATAAGGTATTTATTACGTTATTATTTATTTCTTACATTATTATACATATTTTGATAGCTTCGAGCTTTTGGACGTTAATTTAAGTAACCTAATTACTTTTTTTTTGTAGAGGAGATTAGTGGGTAGTTAATTTCCTAGAGCAGTTTGAGGGGACATAGTAAGTTAAAAAGAAATTCAAGCAAGTCAATACAATTCGGGTATTTTAAATATCCAATTTTTACGGCTTGAGTTTTTCAAGACCTTCGTGCACATCCAGTCTCTAATGTGAAAGGAAAAAAAACTATACGAAGCAATAATAGTTATAATGATAAAAAGTAAAACTCACCTCAGCTGGATCAGGTCCAACTCTCTCGACATCCTCCGGGATGTTGACAACGCAACGGAAGATGTCGTAGCTCGGGGCGAGTTTGCCGCTGAGGAAGACGTACTGAGTGCCGTAGGAGACTCCAACGAGGGTTATGAGAGATATTAGCATGGCCATGGTTCGAAAGGGAAACATCTGAGTGCTGGTTTCCTCATCGTAGCCTGGAAAGCGTATAAACGCAGGCAAGCCCATTATCGGCTCACCGCCGCTAATGCGCACGACGAAGGCCACTATGTAAGCGGTGAGGCTGCCGTAGGTATTGCAGTAGTGTTTAAAGTGCACGACCATCAGCAACTGCGGAAACAGGATCACATAGACCAGGTCCGAGCACATGGACCAGAGACCGTAGATTGAAGGTATGGTCAGGGCCATGATTGTGCTCAGGATACCGACGACGCCAATGCCGATCCGCATCACCCAAATTATTTCCATTTCCGATGCCTGCACAACAGAACCGAAAGACACAGTTGTTTAATATGCTGTTTTTCAATACTGTCTCACAAGATCTTTATCTGCGCAAAGAGATAAAGATGATTTTATAACAAAAAATCAGCGTACATTTCAGAAGAAATATCTATCAATTAGATCTATAGTGATATTTCTTTTGACGACAAGAATTTTGTGATCAACGAAGGTTCTGTGAATAACCTGTTATAAATCCTAATTATCAATAATATTTTTCCTTTACTACGATAGTTATTCAAAATAATACTGTGATTAACTAAAAATCCTAATGGTGGATTTCTTTGAATGGAAAACATTTGTTTGAACCGAGGTTTAAACTATTCACACCATAAAACAGTAAGAGTTCTGTGAGACCCTTTATGTATTTATAACTAGCAGATAAAGAGATCAATAAAACTCACCCTCTGACGGAAAATTAGTTTGTACACGTTCCTCGCGAACATAGAACTGGCAGATAGAATGCTACTGTCCGCTGATGACATGACGGCGGCTGAAACGGCACCCAGTCCGAAAAATGACACAAAATCTGGAGTGAGGTATTGCAAAACCATCGGCAGGATCATGCTGGTTTCAGTCTCCGTCAGCGGCCAAGGACCTTGGTATCCCGTTTCGTTAAATGCTGCAGGACAGACAAGAAATTTACACAAAATTAATGATTTCTTGCGCATTGAAAATTTTTTGATCCACAACTTTTGTGAACGTCAAGAGAGTTCTATGATATCCAGAATAAACAATAATAACAAGATGAAAATTCAATTAAACAAAAGCCCTAAATTAATGTTGTCAAAATTTGGAGACGTAAAGTTGACCAAAAAGTTAGTGTGAGTATTTAGTTTAATTTTACATGTAATTAAACTTATGTGACATTGTACTTTTAAGTTATTCTATCTATTGTATTCAGTCTTGCTTGTTCATAATGAATGTTCCATAAAAATTATACCAATGATACAAAAATTTTAAGTAATCTCACATAATTTAATAAAACTTGGCGGAGTTTATATGAGATAAGAAACAATTTAATAAGTTGAATTAATTAATGCTATAATACAGGGTTATGTTATATGAGACTGAGAGGGAACGATAGCTGCATTGACTATACATATGGTGAAGTAAGTCTTAATTTGCCTCGAGCACCTCCAAAGCTAAGGTTGAAATTTCAAATCGTCACATTGCTAACCATGAAACAAGATTTCAATAATCTTTGTCCATTTAGAGAAAACTTTTTAATTATATGAACAGAGATTTAAACATTTAGGACAAAAAGCGCTTTAGGATTATAAATGTTTTATGTTTCATATTTATCTAAAACCACTTAAGTTTGGCTCATCTTATCTTTTACAGGCGTAATAATGTGAAATTTCTTTCCGAGGGATGTCCACTCTAGGGGATCTAAGGGATAGTATCTCAGTCAGAAATGAGTGAATGATGTAGCTGAAAAACAAGAAATATTGCGAGTTTTTTCACAAATCACGGCTACTCAATCATAAGTTTTCATGTTTGCATATGAAAGATCAAGAGAAACAATCATTCCTTACGCTTCTGTGTATAATCAAAGAAAATATTTTTCCTGAGATATGATAAACGACGATGTGTAGATAAATGATTGACACGAACATTATTGTTCAACGACGAGTTTCTTTCGGAATATTTTTTCACGTGAACACGATAATTGACGAGCCCCCGGGTCTCCCCCATTGTTTTTCTTCCGCTATCTGCCCTCGCAATCCAGTACAAGCCGCAAGTGCGCGCTTCTGGGGCGTGCGGCCACACCGAAGGGGATTAAATTAGGCACGTCTATCTACTCTATCTCTTCCTGCTCTCTGCTCCTCGGGCTTCCTCCCTTTTCTTTACGCTTCTGCAGATTCCTCCCTTTCTCTGGTTCTTTGCCACCCCGACCCCCCACGCCGTCTTTATCTTATTCCTCCGTTTGATCTTCAGCCGTGCTTTTCACCTCTCCTTGCTAATACTTGTATTGTTCTGCAACATTACTTGTATTTTTCTTGACGAATTCTTCGCATCCTTTTTCCTTTTTTTTTTTTTTTGTAGATAGTATTGGTTGAATACACCATACATTCCAATTACATTTAATTGCTCTTGCAAAAGATATTCTAATGGTAAAAGCTTTTTCAACGAGCATTTTGCTTATCAGCACATAAATGTATGAAGTACTTGGCAATGGATGTAAAGTTTTTTTCTAAACATTTTTAGCCCCATTTTAACATTCCATGGAGGTTCTATTGACGGAAATTCTGAAGTTGTAACTTGTCTGTCGCTACTACAGTAAAATTTTATCGAAAATAATGAATATCTATAGAAGCACTGAATTAAGTACACAAAAAATGAAGAAAAATAAACTGAAACATGTACAGCTATGTGCTAAAAACTGTATAACTATACTCTCTTGCAACAGTAAAGCCAATCGAATCGTGAACAGTCCTATCGTTAGCGGAAGCTGTATTAAAATTAGGTTAAACTTTTACTCTCTTGACCATACTTTGGCTATAATATATGTGCATATTTTTTTCAAAAGATTAAAAAAGTAGTCCATGAATTAAACTTTAACGTAAGCTCTGAAAAAAAATTAGAATAGTCGTAGAAATCATGGTATATTTATTTTAAATTTTTTTACCTTTGACCCGGAAAATGTTTATGAGCTTTGATTAAGTTATTTTCTCTTTTAGAACTCACGTAATTAAATGCCATAAGACAAGCTATGATGGAAAAACAGTATGTTACACACCCACGAGAGGTATGGTAAATAATTTCCGAAACCACGCAATACATTCATTAAGTGCCATCTAAGACATTCTTAATTTTACCATATTAGATGTGAATGCTGTTTTTGTAGTACCATAAGAAAGTTTTTTTCAGGAAAAACTTGGCAAACGAATTGGGGGTTATTTAATCCTCGAGTGACAATAATATTTACATACTGATGTAATATTTTTATCATTTGATAAAATAAATAAAATAAATAAAAAATAAAATAATCGTATTTTTTCTTCGCGCGCATACGGCTCTACAGCCAACCCAAACAGACATTATAATAATTCTCTCGAGCATGGAGAGCCTTATTTACCCTAGCATTTTCTCGCGCTCGGCGGGGCTCACTCCCCCTGATCCACATCAGCCGTGCCAGCCCCCGTCCACACCCAGCGCTTAGACGCAAGGGTGCGCTAAAAAAGCAGAGAGAGAGAGAGAGAGAGAGAGAGCCAGGATGAAAGAGATCGCGTACACCTATATCGGCGGCGCGAAATCGATGAGCTACTTGACATTTCACCGGACCCCCGCGCACACACAATACAGTGCATATAGGTATCTACCCTCTCGCGCCGGGAAGGGGTTGACTCTTGCTTCTCCCGTTTCTTTCTCATCTATTTTCCACGGTCACGTAGTATACTGCTGGTATTTACAAGAGGCGAGGGAGCCACGCAGCGTTGTACGAGGGGGCTTTTACGCCCCCCCCCCACCCCCCTCGCGCACATGCGCATCCAATAAGGGCCGAGCAAGAACAATAACAGCAACAACAACAACGGTGGCGGCACGAGGGGGTGCCAGGCAGTATGGATCTCTCTCGGTGCAGGGCATGTGGCGTGTTTAGTGACGCCACGGCATACAGGGGAGGGGGGGGGTGGCTACCTACACCAATACTTCAGCTGCAGGGGTGGCGTAAGCCGCGGGGAAGCTAAATGCGTTTACAATTCAACTCGGGCATCGGAGATGGAAGGGGGGACCCCGTATACATGTTGTGCGTGTGTGTCGCAAAGCCCCTGGTCCCATCCTACTAACTTCGAGGGGGTACGTATACGCTTGCGCGTCAGCGTCGGAATATATACTTTATTCATATGCATTGTACAACAGCAAAGCGCGCTTCTTTTCTTTTATCATCGCGTCACTATCTTTCGGCTGTGCAAGAGAGCGTGCTATCCACTCGGTCGCGGTATGATACTGCGCGTGTGCAACCATTACGTTGTACGTCAGGTGCGTCTACTGTTGTATAATAGCCGTATCTCGAGAGACATAGGATTATAATCGGGTCTACTCGAAGCGCGTAGACATACTTACATCGTCTGGACATCGCAGGTGCAAAAGTGACGTTATACCTGCGCCGTGTTACGTAAACCGTGGTTGCGCAATTCTGGCCGATGCCCATCGGCGGAAGCTCCGCCAGGCTCTGTTTACGCGCGAACTTACATACTTAAACAGAGGGTGCGAAATAAAGGCACCGGCATACCCGCTTGACTTTTGGTCAATCAGTGGTGGGAAGATATTCGCAGGCTAGCCACTGCGATAGCGATTGCAGATAATACACGTGCACGTATGTATTGCGCAACGGCGTGACTTTCGGTGTACTGTTGCAGATGTGCATGCAAATCAGCAGGTTACCTTTTTTTTTGCCTCAGTTCGTGCTTAAGAGTATGTAATATACGTAAGGGAATCTCCGATTGCACAAGGCCTTTGAAATCACGCGCCCTCGTGCTTGCTGAAAGTTTTCAGACTCGAATTAAACTTTTCTTCTCTTTTTCCGATCGTGCGGTTTTCTTTTTGTTTAGAAAAATTTGTTATCTCTTTCCCTTTTTTTTTACTTATCATGTTAATAGGGCTTTTAATGACAATTTCTCACTAGAAATCGGCACCGCGTGTTTTGACCCGATTCTTTGAATACGGAAATATACGCTGTTTCCATGTCGAGTGACAACAGCGCAAAACGAACAAATAAATTAATGCAACTATTAAAAACAGAAACTAACATGAAATCAAGCGTATGAGCTGAACCTTACGAGATAGGATTCACCGAACAATGATATTGCGAAAACAAGGTAATGAAAAAAGTCGTAAGTACGATGGTATAACTGTGGCTATCCGATGATTCTCATTCACGACAAGTCAGGCACGCGTAATATACTTAATATACCTACAACCTGCAACAGAGCACACGTAGCCACTTAGTTCCTTCTCTCTCTCTCTCTTTTCTGCAAGGATGAGCCGTCTCGCGTTGTTTTTCTCTTTCGTCGCGTGTCGCGCATTTTCTAATCGAGGCCGCGCCGGAGTCGATGCGATACACGTCGCGGGACGAATCACTCTTCCTGCTGTTTGGCCAAGTTTCGGATAATGTGTGGATATATATACATGTACGCGATGCGCAACCCGAAAACCCCCGTAATAATTGATTGATCGAGCGACCGCAGCTCCGCTCTTCGATGCATGGATGCACGTCCTCCAACAACATGGTCTTTCGTGTATTCCAGATGTAATTTCGAACATTGGCTCCGCTCTGCGATTAACATCAATTTTCTGCTTGCGCGGGAATTACGCACGTTTTGTCGTTCACCGGCAATTAAAGCGTGGTAATTATAGTAGTACTGATAAACGTTTTAAGGAAAACCAAATCGATTCTTCGTAAACAGTTTCACCAAACCCATTGAACTAAAAGATTTTTTCTTCAGCGATTGCCTTAAGAAGGCTGTAGAGAGCAAAACATGTATATTCGTCAAATATTTTACACTTGAGCATGTTAACTCCGTGACAGCCAAGTTTTTTCTCTCCATAGCTTTCTTACATTTATTTTTTTCCGTTCAAAAGTGTCCAGTTTAGCAGAACTGGTTAACCACTTGGTGCACCTCAGATTGAGTTATTCTTAAGATTATTATCCACGCAACCACGATGTATTTTATAAAAAACAAAAATATTAACTCCACCCTTTAAGCGTGTTTTTGAACACACGTGGATTTACAGCTTTGGAAGCTCAATACCACAGTAATTTGCTAATGCGAGAGTACTAAAGTGGTGTGGAAGTAAAATGATTGTGAAGGGTTTTATTAATCAGATGAGACTTTAATTTGTTGATAATAGAGGCCCAATGGAAATGTTGAAAATGCCAACATTATTGTTAAAGGCATAGGCGAGTATTCTACCTTTTTAATGAAATAATATGATCTGCCATGGTAATTCAATTCATTTAATGTTCATCTAAAATTTTTATCAGTTTGATGAGTTTTAATTTAATTTAACGTATTCTCAAAGTGTCATGAACGATAGTAACTCGTTTAAAGATCTCGTGTGTACTACCATGCAACCGTGATTTTCCTCATCGAAAAGTCTAATAGGTGAGAAGGAAAAGGGAACGCCAAAAAAGAAGTAGTGAATAGGACGAACTTACGAGTAGCTTTGGCAATAGCCCCGATGAGGACTGGTGGAATGGCCATGAGGATGCACCCGACGGCAGCCACGTAACTGAGTATCTGGGCCCGACCAGCGGACTTGGAGGACAGTACTCTCTGAAAGTAGACTTGCCACGGGATCCCACCAAATATAAGGAGCAGTCCATAGTCCAGGTACGACCAGTACTCCTTTGGCTTTACTTCGCCGATCCAGTCGACGTCCATCGAGCTCAGGGGCTGCACTATCGGGTGGGCCCAGGCGAACGGGATGCACATCCACTGTAACGCAAAAAGTCGTTTGGTTCAACAAACATATTATACCTCGTGTAGAACGCGTAAAATGTAAAATACCCTCGTATTATTTGTCATTGATATTGTACGATAGAACTACGTTAAAATTAACGTCTCTGAATTGAACATTAATAATTTTACTACAAAATTGAAGTGGACTGTCGCTATTTAGAACTCCCCCCCATCCCGAGGGAACAAAAAAGGTCTACCCATGTCGTATCGATCAAACAAATCAGAGCAAGCTGCCACTCGCATTACCCTGACATCAACTGCACCGATGCATTATGGTATTTATTTCGTTTCTCCAAGATGGGGAAGAAACGGCTCGCAGGAGCAGGATGTATTCTGGGCACGCGCTGCCGTCCAATGGCTTCGGGAGAAACGTGAAACTTTTACCGCCCGTGGGTCGGTGGGTATAATTCGCTTGCCCACGGCTCACGGAACTTTTGCATACGAGTCGTATACACGCGCGCAGTTGCGATCGCTAACTACTTGTGTGCATAATACATGCTTAAGGCTTTTAAAACTTTTGGTTCTCGCATTTCGTGTATGCGATTGCACACGATATGGACGCAACAATGGACAAAGTACCGCGATCCAACGTTTTTCTATCTTGCTTTTTCGATCCTCGCCTTTTTCAATTTTTACGGGATTACCACATGACGTTAACTTTATCGATGGATATTTCAAAAAGTCGTATTTTCATTCCATCCACATATCTCATCACTGCTCGTCGACGAAATGTTACTACTTTTAAATTTTTACAAAGCAGTAGAGCTATAGTAATAAAACCTATCCCACCTAATGAGATCATATTCTCTAATCAGATTACATTCTTGTTTATGACCGTAAAGAGTGACTCGCAAGCCAAATCCAATAAGTACGTGGTTTCTTACAAAGAGATTTACCGCGAACCGCTTGTTCAATTCAAGGGTTTCGTAAGTCTTTGGGTGTCGAGTGAAATCGTTTATGAACGACGATTACGGCGATAAGTCCACAAGCGAGCCCAACACGCCTACGTACAATACTTTAATTTGATTTAGTTCATTTTCCGTAGCACGAGGTGCGACGATGTATTGTATCGGCTATTGCGACTGCATGATCACGCTGTCACGACCACATTGTGATCTTGTGCCAACGACACACTGAGCTCGGTAAAAATTTAATTTCAATAAGATTTTCGAAATGATTATAGAAGACATAAGGACATCTCCCATTATTTTTAAAATAAAAAACCCAATGGAACCCTAGTAACTGATGGCATAAGATTTTACATCACCTCTGTATAACATACCATTGGTACACTGAGAGAAAAAATTACTGTGCTGGAATGGTATTCTGGTGCCATTCCGCCGTTTAGGGACTTTTTACTTTGGCCAACCTAATTTTTCCTATTCTGGACAGTAATTTCTATTGTACTAACAGTAAAAATCACTATACTCACAACAAAAATTAATGTTCTAAATATTAAAAATTATTATTCCAATAATAAAAAGTCTTTAGACGCCCAGACACTACCAGATTACCCTAGCACAGTAATTTTTTTTTCTCACTGTACTCTTGATGCACAAATTGGTGCAAATATAATTTATTTGCATGCAACATTTACCTCATAAGTGAAAATTAAATTTATATAATACTATCATCCTTATCGCGGCAAAGAGTAAAATAACGCTGTTTATGAATTTGGTATGATAATTAAAGTCATGACTAACGATAAGACTTTTTTTCAAAATGTATCCATTTAAAAACAGTTTGAATAAACTTAAGAAGTGTATCGTACAATATATCCTTTTTTCGTCCTCGGGCCAGTTGACAGCGAAATATAACGGATCAAAGGGGAGAATGGATTTTGGAAGTTCGAAACTCGAGACGCGTAAAAGAATAATCAACACGTGGGAATAATCGATGCCTTCCAGAGTACCGATCTTCCACTCTTTTTCAATCAATCGAGCAAGGATGCATTCGATTAGGTGAGCTTGGACGCATATAGCGTCGGAGGTGAAAAGGAGAAAGGAAAAGTAAAACAGAGCCTCCGCAAACACACACCGAATTTCCCTGAAGTCACGATTGGCTGGGCGCAGAGAGACATCTGCCATCGTCCGTCGCGTCCGAGGCCTTTGAAGAAGTGAAAATCCATAAGCAAAAACGAAAGTGTAGATCCGATCATCAGCATTGTCGCGGGGCCTTCGAGGAATTCGAGATTGTTGCCGCGGCTATTGGGATATGAGCGTGTATCTACGCGCACGGTGTTCTGGGCTGTGTGTAAAAGAGGAAGAGGGTAAGTGGAAACGAGAGGTACTGTTGTGATTGTAAGGACAGAATCTGGAATATTTTACTAAAGCATACGCTTTTAGGCTTTGGAAAAGGCTCGAATTTTTTTTACGAAGCAAACCTCTGCGACTGATTGTTTTCTTCTACTGTATAGATTTGTAATGAATGGAAAAGTGCCCATTCGTACGATCAATCACATTTCTTAAGAAGTAAAAAGAAAGCGAGTGGAGTGTAAATGTTATTAGGTAAGCCATGTATAGTAAATACCTGTCGAAAAAATTTGGAGGAGCTATGGAAGATCCTGTCCGCATATATAGTGTAAATAGAAGAAAGCGATTGTAGATTTGTGATGGTTGATAATAAAACTACACTGAGCGACCCAATTCTTTGAATCAAAGAAAATTTCTTCACCCTCATTACGTTAAATATTTTCTTATGAGTAAAAAAATATAAGTTAATTGAAAATAATATTTTATTAAATTAAAATTTTGTTTTGTTAATCACGAATTTCTCATTTAGTTGTACGAAATGTTTTTTTGGATTGACTAAATTTGTTTCAATTAAAAGAAAATATTTAACGGAATGAGGGTAAAGAAATTTTCTTTGATTCGAAGAATTGGGTCGCTCAGTGATATGTGCAAAATACTATTCTTAACCAGTAGAAGTGGTTTATTTGTACGTTTGGACATATTTTTAGATGATCGATGTTCGCTTGTTTTCTTCAAACATTAGAATTTAGTATTTTTCTTTTAATGATCTGTACAACTCTATACAAATTTGCCTATTTTTGAGATTTCGAGAATCCATTTGGCAATGGCCACCCTTTCATCAGTGATTCTTACCAAAAATTTTTGGTATTCTGTGAGTATTCAATGGTGCGTATATATTCTTGTAGTGCACATGTCCTTAGTACTTATTAGAAAATTGGGGGGTTCTAAAAAAATTCGTATGAAATCCTTTATATAGCTTGAAATGTGTGAGAATGTAAATAATTTTTTCTATCGAAAAATAACACCTTTGAAATATAATTGTAAAATTTGTTGATAAAAATTAATATCCTTTTATGGCAACCAACTATTGATAGTTGTGTTTAGCAAAAAAAAAATACATAGGAAAAACTGTAGTGAAATAATATTGTAAATGAAAAAACCATGGAAACCACCTGGTTCATGCTCAGTTTGTGAACTGAACGTATTCATTAAGATTTGTCACTTCTGTTATATTGATACAACAAGCTGATCTATGTAGAAATCTATGAACGACCGATATTACAAGCCAAGTGATAATTAGTTGATACATAGTAATTGCTCAGGTGCGTTCCTTTCTCTTTATTATATGTATGTTACATACATGGCGTGTAACTTGTACTGTCGGCAATTAGCAGCTGCACTTTAGTAACTCCGTTGATCAGTTGACTGAGTATTTAAACGATATATTTTACTCTGAGCAAAAGGTGTGCATGGTATTCTAGTTAGTAAGAACATCGCTGACTTATATTACATACGACAGCTATTATGGTATAGGTGAATTCGTACTGATTAAACTTTATTTAATTGTGAGAAAAATCTTTGAAGGTTCATTCATCTCTCTCTATCTGTATATTAGGATTAGAGGTGGTCAATGAAAAAGAACGTAATGGCGGGTTTTGCCAGCTCTACTTTTATTGCTTGTTAAAGATCGAAGCATAGGCAAACATTTTTGGTATACAGCCTTCCTCGTAAGCCTTTCAAAGTAATGAGTTATGATCTAAATATTAGTGGATGCAGAACTTTGTCTTGGAGCTAGTTTCTAACCAAGATATCAATTTTTTTTTTGTACAGCTAGTATTACTTGTAAAATAAATTAGCTTGAATAACAATTCCAACTAGAGCCAAACTTATATACTTATATCATAAAAAATAAACAATCTTTTTAATTATAAATTAATGAGAATTACTTGCATTCAATGCCGTAAAAGTCACTGCAAGGTGCGTTTTATTATTGATTCCTAATTTTTACTTTTACGTATGCGTCCCTTGGTCTCTTAACGTTTTATTCTTCTCCGCATTTTTATCAATGTTTCTCCATCTTCTGTATGTATATGCATTTGTATCTCAGTTTCTGTAATATTAATTATTTATCTTTTTTTTTACTCTTTTTTTCTAGACCACTTATTTAATGTGTCTCTGTTTCTGTTCGCATCTCTACTTTCTCTACATAGTTACCTACTTTTGCCCCAAAAATAAAACATAATTAATAACTTTGAAATCTAGTTTTAGTCACTGTGTCATATTTTCTTGTGATTTTTTTTCGTTAATTTTTTATCTGACTTAACTAAAATTTTCTGTGACTTAATTTCTTTTAAGAAATTGAAGTTAAAAAAACACTTCGAATTACGTTTTTTTTTACGGATAATTTTCGAGTGGCTTTAAAGCTTTTTTACATTAATAGAACATATTTATTAATATTTCCAAACACGATTATTCATGTGACATCTAAATTTTGATAAAATTAATGCCAAATTCTAAAAATTGTGTTTTTCTTTCAAAATAACTCTATTTTTAGTACAGCATATACAATTTTTAAATTTTAATACTAAATTTGTGTTCAGCAGCTTAAAAAATTCTGTAGTAAAGGTTTTCGAGCCAATGTTCGGCAATATTAACTTTTTTGCTAAGAAAAGTATATACTCTACGAAAATGGCGGAATTTTTCGTTAGCCATATTGAATTTCCG